GCTCATTATCCCAGAGTCAAATCTCGGGTGGATGAGCGCACGTAATTCGCAAGTCGGCGAGGTTATTCGATGTCAACGGTGTGTTCTTTCGGAGGCGTCGCCAGCTTGAAGATTGAAGAAGCCGAGGTGACTAGATTTTACTACCGAAATGTGGAGAAGCAAGTCACAAAACGCCGCGGGCTCTCGGCTGTGGCTAGCATTACTCATGCGCTACAGTGCTTTTTTCTAGGGCACTAGCAACACCCAGTTTACCCCAGGTCTGCGCAGCTAACGATCAAATCATCCAGCTACTAGGAACATTTCAAAGGAGTTGAGAGACCGTTAATTCGTGGCTACGCGTTAAGTCTACGTAAGGCGCATGTGTACATGCTGAAATGGTGAGATACAGGGAAGGAGATCAATCTTGAATCTAGCAGTAGTACGCCGCAATTATGAATCTACTTCAATGTGAATGCGAGATGCCAGGCTGAAACCGTACCACAACATCGCAATGACCGCGACGAGGTTGAGGTGAATGCTCATTGCGTGGTTTCTTGAAAACCGTCTTCTTACAGCAAGCATGTCTGGACTCGGTTCATCGACATCCCCAGGACGTCTCGCATCGCGTGTTTCTTTTCGGTGTTAGATATGAAGAGAGGAATGGTAGTAAGAACGTGTTGGCCGGGCTCACCTTGATGCGTGCGATCAATCATCGCCTGTCTAGACCTCGGCCCGTAGACGAGCAGGTTCGCCAAGGATGCTACCCCCGCAACCATGAGCGGGATCCAGTTGCTCTTCACCTTGAACAAGGATGTTAGGCCATGAGGGGGGAACGTGAGGACTGTCAAGACAAGGAGAAGTGCCTGGCATCGGAAGTATATCGGAAACAGGCGCTTCTGTAATGTAGTGAATGCGGACTTGGGAAGTTCGAGATAGCAGATTTTGGTGTTGATAAACGTCTGAAACAGTGACGTGCCGAGTAGTGTCCCGTAAGAGATGATATGATAGGGAGCAAGGGTTGTCATGATTGAAGGAATTCCGAACGCCATTGTGGTACTGAGAGAGTCAGTACGAAATTGACTCGATCAATTGATAGGCGTCAGCCTATATCCAAATATTAGATTATATAGTACCCATTGATGCCGCTGAAACAAGCACACGGGATGCGGTGTTCTGCCACATCCGTAAGCTCCGAGCACCTTCGGAAAGAAAACGGACGCCGAGTGGGGCCTGATTGAGTGCAAGGGTAGGCCCCAACCGGCAACTTTACGGCGGCCCGGACGATCCAAGCCAATACTAAGTTGATCTTATTGTGAGAATGATAGCTTGATTACAGAATATGCAATGGTTTCATAAGTTTTTTCGCATCCTTTTCTCTGCTCTAACGATCGATGGAAGACTCGGATTGTGCTGGTTGTGTTGCTCACCAGTTCACTGTTGCTGTTTGAGCCGAGTGGGATGGACCCGAAAGGATTCGGATCTTTCGTGCTGACGCAAGCAACGGCGAATCGATCCAACTCTTTCCGTCACATCTTCGAACAGTCTCTGAGGCATCATGAAATTTTCCAGTGTAGGCATATAGGCACGATCTGAGTATGACATCGGTGCTACGCGAAACAGTATCGCTCTATTGGTACCTAATTCATAGATGGCCCAATTGCCTGTGTAAGTTAAGTCATTTGAAATCGCCTCAGAATCAACGTGATCCTCCTTGCACCCCAAAAGGTATATTTCCACGAGACAAAAACACATTGTAATAACTCCGCATAGCCATCAAGATCTCTTCTTTCAGATTTCAACGCTCAAGAGTCAGCTACCGCAAAAGGATTCGCTCTTTCCTCATATTATAATCGCTAACTGAACCAAGTCTAAGTCTATACGAAATTATGCATCTAAACAAGCAGCAGTCTATTTGCAAACATTCAGATGTTCCGTTATGGCCGCTTTTTCTATGCCTCTATTGTCTTTGAGTTCGTCATCAAGTCATTAATGTGCCATCACAGGCCCGCCCACCGCCTTGCCAATGTTCTTCACTCCAAACGCGCTAGCAATCATGCCGATGCCAGCGAGACCACAGCAGCACAGCAAACCAGTGTTGTACTGCCGCAGGTCACTATGTCCCTTGCTAGTGTCAACAGCCTGGACAACAGCACCTGCCAAAGCGAGACTGACGCCGCTGCCAATCTGGAAAGCCGTGTTGATCATGCCGCCGCAAAGGCTCTTGACGTTGACCGGCACCGAAGCCAGCAGCACGACGGTGATAGTGCAGTAGACGATAGTTACGCCCGCCACACCCATGACGGTGGTCGGAAAGACGTGCTTCCAGAAGTTGAGGTCGTCTTGTCGCATGAGCGCGGAAGGGATAGGCGCGATAGCGCAGATGGCCATGCCGATTACAAGGAGGAGCTTAGTGTTGAAGATCTCGAGCATGCGGGACATGGAGAGGCTGAAGATGAAGCCGGTTGCGCCCATGGGGAGGAACCGGAGGGCGGTCTGACCTGCGCTAAGTTGGTTGACCTCTTGGGCGATGAGAGTGGTGTAGTAGATCGTGGTCTGATATCCTCCATATGAAACTGTTCAAGGGTAAGCACATGGTCTTGGTATTGAAGAAAGGTGCATGACTTACCGAAGCCACCGATCCAAAGAGCAGCAAAGTTCTCGAGCTTCCATAGCGACAGCGGCATGATGGGGTTGGCAACCTTCTTCTCAACGTAGGTGAAGGCAACAATCATGGCGATACTGACGACCAGCAGCGCGATGATGAAGGCCTTGCCCCATCCGTACTCACCGCCACTCGAAAGCACGAAGCTGAGCAGGATGAGGCCAGCAGTCGACAGGCCAGCGCCAACAAAATCGAGTTTGGGCTTCGCGGTGCCCTCAAGTCTGTCCTTGGGGAGAAGACCCCAGCCGATAATGCCAAGAATACTGGTGACGGCAGTGGGGATGTAGAAGATGTATCGCCAGCCAAGCGACGAAGTCAAGAAGCCTCCAAAGATAAGACCCAGGCAGAACCCAACGGCACCCGCAGCACCAAAGATTGTCAGTGCAAGCGTGCGGTCTTTGGCGATGAAGTAGTTGCTGATGATGCCGACAGCCGAAGGCACGGTCATGGCAGCGCCGATACCCTGCAAAGCTCGGAAGATGGCCAGCTGAATGAACGAGGTCGCGAAACCATTGGCGATTGTCCATACACTCAGCGTAGCCATCCCAGCGCAGAAGATCATCTTGCGACCAAAGCGATCCGCAAAGACGCCGGCGAGAAGAAGAAAGCCACCAAAGGTCAAGGTGTATGCCGAGATCAGCCACTGCAGCTCTGCATTCTTAACCTTGAAGTCTTTCTGGATGGCGGGGAGCGCAATATTGACGGCCGTCATGAAGATGTTGTCCATGAGCTGAGCGCCGCAGGTGCAGAGCAGCACGATGGCTCCTCGGAACGATGCGACAGTGCCGACGTCCGGGTAGGCTTGCCCTGCGCCGATCTCGTACTCAGCGGGCGTCTGGGTACCGGACCCACCTCCGGGTGAGGGCGGGCCCGAGCTCAAGCCGGAGACGGGGGACGGCGGCCGTGTTGATTGAGGGGTAGTGAACTGGGAAGGGACTTCGCGAATGGTGCTCACGGGGCCGGGTTTCGCGGCTTTCGGGAAGGCGGGCAACTCAAAGACGTTGTCTTTGGACTCGCGCCTATCCCTGGACCTGTGCCGGCTGATGGCAGATGCGCTTCGTACAAGCTCATCGAGATCCTCTGACTGGTCGTGCTCGAATGTTACGCGCGAGGTTTGAGAGACTGTGCTTCGGCGGCGAGTGACGGGCATGCCTGGGTAACCCGCTGGTGGAACGAAAGTCGGGGCTTCCTCAAGCGCCGAGGTGCGGCGGCCGAGAGGCTCGCCGTCACCGTCCACCGAGACCCGGTGGTTAAGAGAGTGCTTGTCGTGGGGCATCTTTTGTTGTTTCTGTTGCAAAAAAAGAGTGAAATTACTAGGGAAAATGAGGTTATGTGGAAGGACGTCAACCACAGGAAACGATTTCGAAATTCATCAGCGTCTCACGATATTGAAATACATGAAATCGCGGTGAACAATGTAGTGTTCGTGATGAACTCGCTCCATGAGGAGGGTTGCAATGATATCAACCTAATAAACCCTTATCATTTGGGCAGTGGCTGCAGAGTTTGCCACATGGCAGACTTTTGTCATGTTCATCTCCCAGACCTCAGGCGATTGTCATGTCGCGATGCTCCACAGGTTTCCCCAGGCTTGTTTGCGCGCCAATCTCACGCCGGACACCACAAGTGTCCCTTGTCACTGAACCTTTCCCAATGTTTGTCAAACAAGCGCTGTTGGGTAAAATCTAAGAGCCGGGTCTAAGTGAGTGTGTGACTCGTGAGGGGGCCACCGGCGGGATGGTGCCGAAAATCTCAACCCAACGGAGTGAAAACTTTTAGACATCTTGGCATGGGGGTCCGTTTCGTTACGCCGTCGCTGTTTTTGTCTATCTGTAGGGCTGAAGAACACTAAACATTTCGATGCCTCGAAGAAGAGAGTTAGAATTTTAGATAGAACCGGGCAGTTTCCGCCTCCAAGATCCGTCATCGGGGCTCCACTTGCAAGACTTTCACAGGGGTCCAGACCCTTGCGCCACTGTTCGTCTCGCACTGAAATTTCCTATCTAGATTCAATAGGCAATTCTCAGCCACGAGCCCCCAGCTCTTCAATCAATCTTGCTTCGGGATCCGTTTTCCGATCCCAGCAAATACAGATGAGTTTTTGCCCAACTTACCCCTCTGGTTCTTTAATGGCGATTATCGGCTCTGTCAATGTGTGTTCGATGTCGATCCGGAACCCTTCTCTTGAGCCGCCACGTCTTGGTGATTCCGGCTGCCACCACGCCATGCGTTGCAAGGCACCCGCAGCGCATCACAACCCTTATCACCGGCTAATGCTATTTCCGCAACCAATTGCAGTAGCATTCCTGAACTTGTGGTTGCTGCTATCTTTGAAGTTGTTTCCGTGTTTGTCTTTCACATGTCAAGACTGATGCACGTTGTCTCACGGTCTTTCACCGCCCTCTACGTCAACCAGTCGTCGAAAACGCTGCGAATGTCTAGCCTGTCCATGGTTGGAATGATGAGTCTGTACATACTAGTGTGCGTTATTGTTTAACTTGCTGGACCTATCCTCTGCTGGCCCTGCCATAGGGCCACAGTTTCCAGTCAAATTTCCAAGACTGCTTGGCTGGCTTGGTTGAGCTGGCTTTTTCGGAGCATCCCGACCACAGAAGAATGCCTCCAGTCTGTGGGACAAGTGAAATACAAGTTTCTCAGCGTATGTACCTTTTCGAATCCATGACAGGAGGGTCTCTCTGTAAACCCAGTCTATCGTAGATATTGAGTATCTGTTTCTTATAAAGTTTGCTTGTTTGAACAAGTATCTTCCACAGCAAGTCCCTCTAGTTGTGATCGCTCGCGACCACAGCCAAAAATTGCGTGCTGTCCCTATTGCATAACATGTTTTCCGACCACCCCAATTTCTTTCGCAACGAGTTCGAACGCGATTACACGTGAGGTAAATCACATTCTAAATTGCATTTGTGAAGGGACTAGGGTCCAAATCCGGTATTTACTCGGCTTGACTTGGTACGGACAAACCCGACTTCACCACGGCCCCACCTTCGGACGCGGCCCCGCTTTGAGCGACCGGCCCTTCGTATACTAGCTCTTGCATCCCGGAAGGCTTTTCGAGTGGAAAAGATAAGACAGGATCAGTTGATGCTCGACCTATCTACGCAAGTTTAATTCCTGAGTCTTGTAATTTCATCGCATTGTTTCAGATGTTGGCAAAAGCACCCTACTAGACGCTTAGAGTGAGCCAACTGTGCCCACTCTCTGGATACATCATCGCGCAGCATGGTCTCCAGCTAGACGGTTACGCTTGAACAACAACCATAAGCCAGTCTCCATCCCACAACATCAGAGTGACCTGGGATTTCGCCCGTGTTAGGACAGCTGAAAACCATCGCAATTGTGCAATTTCCAAGTTCGGTTGAGGCGACATGAACGAAACCCACATCAACACCGCGAGTATCGCCGATGAACTGCGTGGCCCGCGCTTCACCGGCTCCAGATTTCCGTCATTGTTTCCACCGCCGACCCGCAAATCTGAGTATTTCTACGGGATGATGATGTCAGGTTGCAGTAGATATGCGACCGTTTCTTCGATTGAAACCCCAGAGATGAGCAGAAAAATGGCAGAAAGGTTCCCAGTGTTTCGGCTCCGCTGGATAGGAAAGCCGAGTTAGAGGAGGATGCGGGAGAACCTCAACTCAGAAAGGGAGACTTTTCTGGACCTTACCTTGGATCCTCTTTTTCACCGATAGACACGCTGCAGTAACATCGCGAGTAGACTCTTGGCAGGATAGCGTCATATCTCCAACTAAACGCAGGAAACTTTGCCTTCCGTGTGGAAAATCTGGAAGTTGATAAACAAGCCCGAAGACCCGGGGAAGGGAGATCTGGGGCAGATGTTCTAGATAGCATTCACCATCGACTTCTGAGATGGGTTGTTCCTGATTTTATGAATTTCCCTCAGCACACCTATCACATTCAAATCGACGATCGCGACGCACACCAGGTCAATATTCTGGGGTTCTTCTGACCTAAATCTGACGTCAAAGGCAAGCATCGTCACACCTACCATCTGGGTCGAGGCAGCTATTCGTCAGAGATAGTATTGTCAACATGGTTTCAGCGCCTCCTGGTGATAATTCGCGGGCCTCGCGACCAAGCAACGTCGATGAGACGATTCCGACCCGAGACAGCAGCGCAACACGCGTCGACCGGAGCTTTGACGGCGAGAAACCACAACAGCCCCTCAACGAAAAGTCCGAGGATGCGCCAACCGGGGGCTTCTTTGAAGGCGGCTTGGGCCGAGACGAAGAGGCTGAAGGCACGCGCAGGCAGGAAGACCTAGCAAGGGCAACGAGCAGCAAGCAGCCTGAGTACACCCCCGATGGGAAGCGTGTCATCACCGAGGATGAGTGCTATCATCTGCTGGGATACTCGTGGCCGGCATGGAAAAAGTGGATGCTTCTCTCCTCTATTTTTGCCGTTCAGGTGTCTATGAACTTCAACACTAGTGTCTTTCCTAGCGCTGTTACTCCTATCAGCGAGGAGTTCCATGTCAGTGAGCAGGCGGCACGTAGTGCACAGTGTGCTTTCTTAGTTCTCTACGCTTTTGGATGTGAGCTGTGGGCTCCTTGGAGTGAGGAGTTCGGACGATGGAAGATCTTGCAGTAAGCACTTCGAGGCCACTCTAGCTTTTCACAACTAATATTAAGTCGAGATGCTCCCTATTCCTCGTCAACATATGGCAGATCCTTGCTGCACTGGCTCCCAATTTCGGCAGCATAGTTGTCGCTCGAGCCCTAGTAAGTCAGAGTTCTTTCTATGCTAGTGAGCCAGTAACTGACTATGCTTGATCTGAATAGGGCGGTCTCAGCTCAGCTGGAGGTAGTGTGACTCTCGGCATGGTTGCTGATCTCTACCAGCCCGAGGAGCAGCAGTGGGCAGTCCTCTTCGTCGTTCTGTCTTCCGTTCTCGGAACTTCCGTCGGCCCTGTCGCTGGAGGACCTATTCAGAAGTTTCTTCCGTGGTACTGGAATCTGTGGATTCAGATGATCTTCGGCATTGTCGTCCAAGCCGTCCACTTCTTCATGCCCGAGAGCCGCTCCACCATAATCATGGACAGGGAAGCAAAGCGGCGACGCACATCCGGCGAAGATACCAATATCTACGGACCCAACGAGGTCAAGAAGCCTCGGCTTTCGATGCACGAGTTTGCCATCACGTGGATGCGTCCCTTTGAGATGTTCCTTACAGAGCCCATCGTTCTCTCCTGCTCTCTGCTTTCAGGTTTCTCCGATGCCCTTATCTTCACCTTCCAAGAAGGTTTTACGCCGGTGTTCAACAAGTGGGGGTTCGGGACTTTGCAAAAGGCCTGGGCTTTCATCCCAATCAATATCGGCTATATCCTCGCTTACATCTCCTATGTGCCATGGATCATCAGAGACCATCGTGTCATCAAGGCGAAAGGTCCTGATGCACTCGCACCTGAGCGTCGCCTGAAGTGGTTGCTGTATCTTGCACCCCTCGAAACCATTGGGCTCTTCGGCTTCGCTTGGACCTCCATGGGACCTCCCGAATCTCATTGGATCGCGCCCATGATCTTCTCCTGCCTCATCGCCATTGCCAACTTTGCCATCTACATGAGCACGGTCGATTACATGATCGCCGCATACGGACCCTACTCTGCGTCTGCTACCGGTGGTAATGGGTTTGCACGAGACTTCCTTGCTGGCATTGCAGCGATGTACTCTACTCCACTGTATGAGAACATTGGAAGTTCACGACACACTGAGTATGCAAGCACTGTCCTTGCCTGTCTGGCATTCATGGTCACCATTCCAGTATATCTCATCTACTGGAAGGGGCCCGTCATTAGAGAGAGGTCCAAGTTTGCTCAATCCCTGGACGCCGATCGACGTTCCAAGGGTGGACGTCGCGTCATTGAAGCTCCCGAGGAGCAATTGGAGCCCAAAACCCTTTGAACAGCAAAGAGTGTGAACGCAGCTAAAGGGGTATAAGTACGAAGTAGGCTGCTATGAGCATGCATTGCGAAGGTTGACTACCAACGACGTGTACGTAAAGTACATAATGACATGAACGATACCAATGTACAATATTTTCAACTGCAATTTCCATTCACGTGAAAGAAATATGTAGCTTGTCTTATTGTCGGCAAAGGTGAGGATTTCCCAATAATTTGGTGATCTATTTGTCATCTCCGAACTTCTAAGCATCAACTAACCCAGACGCCGGCCTCTCTAGAATATTCGATACAAAATTCATAGTCCGTCTTGCGCCATTTATGCCTCAACACCGATGGTGATGTAGGCGAGCATGCCCTTGGTAACATCCTCACCGTCGAGAGGCTCGACAACCATGTTGGGGTTCCAGTTGCCCTTGCTCTCATCGGCAAAGATGCTATCAATGTCGTTGGTGGTGCGGTTGATCTCGGTGTGGCTGACGTAGGGCTCAAGGGCCATGATCTGCTGGCTGAGGGGCTCGTCGAAGAAGAGCTGGCCGGTGCTGACAATGTTGGAAGCGACAACGGTGCCGTTGCTGCGGACGGACCAGTCGGTGTGGACCTGGGCGTGGATGTGAATGGTGCGCTCGACGTAGAAACCAGGGAAGACGGTCTTCATCTCCATGATGCCGTTAGAGTCGGTAGGCCAGATGCCGCGGAGCCAGGTGGTGGCGTCGGTGTGCAGGTCCAGATCGGGGCCGATAGTGACGTTGAGCTGGTCGAGGAGCTCTTCGAAGGGAGTGTTGGGGCTGTGGCCCGTGAATGAGCTGTAAGATCCGGTCTATGGGCAATCCAGTTAGTCAACGTGTGAGGGTTGAAGCCTTTCAATTTACTTACAGCGTTGCAGTGCCAAAGGTCCTGGTGATGGTCAGCGCTCAATATCATGATTCAGATTGGGATTAGGGGTACTTACGACTAAGACGTTGCTCATAACTTCGCAGGTATTGACGTTGAGAACACCAATATCCAGATAGAGAGGAACACCGGGTTGATCTTCGCTCATATCCTGGCGCAGGGTCTGAGACTGAGGCCAGACATAGGGTCCCTTGGTGACCTCGGGCGTCAGGACGCAAGTGTCGTTCTGAAGGGTGTTATAGTGGGGACCCTCAGTATGAATAGTGACATTGCTGTCGCGCTGAACGAGAGAGCGGCTGACGAGCGAGCGCTTCTCGGCCTGACGCTTCCTGCGAACCTCCTGGAACTGGCCGGATTGCACCGAGCAACGCTTGGCGAGGTTGGAACGGCGGGCAATCTCTGAGTGGCTCAGAGTGTGGTCATGACCCGGGTGAGCAACGGCCACTCCCGTGAGGAGCGCAGTAGCGAGAGCAAGGAGCTGGAACTGCATATTGTAGGTTGAAAGAGAGTGTAAGTCGAGAAAGAGTGTTGTAGAGGCTGTTCAACGAGAGAATGTCTGGGACCTATTGTCAAAGTCAAGCTACCGAGATCTAAGCTGCTGATCAAGCTAGAACTGATCAACAACGAGGGAGCTGATCCTTCATTTATACGTTCATCCTTTCTTT